TCAATAAGATCAATAAGCAAAAGCCAAAGAGTTCGCTAGGCCAAAGCCTAGCAAGCAACTAAAAGAACGCAGCTAAGCGAAGTGATTCGCTCAACTTCAGCTCTAAAATGGCTGCTGCCACGTTGCAGCGCAGGGCTATATAGCCCTAAATCCTGCAGGCAATCTCGCGATTGCATATGCACCCTGAGATTTCCCAGTGTGCCTTGATACAACTTATACAACACCTGATTGGTCAAGTGTGTAGGAATTAAGGCAGGAATTCCTGCATGCTTAGTCAACCAGGCGTCTCTTATCCTAAAATGGGCAGCACAACAAGAATCCCCTCTCGACAAGTCGGGGGGGGTGTCTTTGGCTCCAAATACACCATAGAAGGCCTCAGGATCCAGGGGAAATGGCAGACAATTTGTTGCCAAAGGTAAGCACGGAATGGTAACCTATCTACTCAAGTTATGTAGTACCCTAGGAAGTCATGTATTTGGGCATCTATGCAAAATATCCCACAGAAACACTTCGATGGTAATGAAGACAGTGAAAAATATATGACATTGCTATCCTTTTTGACACTTCTACTTGATTCTCTTCATCATGCTTTCATTCTTAGTTGACCTCTTTATTTTTTTTAAAAAAATACACATAATATTTTGTTTTAAAATAAAAGTGATTTGTGGGCTGGATCCTATTCATAATCCCATATTCATAAGCAGATCTATTTAATCTCTGAGGTTTGCACAGGAGTTGCCTCACCAGTCAATAGATAATTTAATGGATCTACCCTGGTTGGGATTACCAAAAACAAACAAAACAAAACAAAACAAGAAACAAGGTTATGATATTAATATGACCCATTGCATCCACAGACTATACATAAGTGTTGATTCACCATTCAATACCTGATTTAATTGGCCTTCTGTGGTTGGCATTACTACTAAAATTCAGGCTTAGGTCTTTTCTGCCCAAGGACAGTCAAGACTTTAAAAGTCCCTCCACTACTTGGTTCCAGATATGATGAATCAGTTATTACTCTTAAAAACTATTTCTCTCCCCCCCCCACTTATATTATAAAAGAAGAAACTAAGATGGATGATAACCTCAAAAAACAATGTGTAAGCAATTAGTTTTCAACAAATGTTCTCAAACTAACAAGAACAGAGTGTGACATTTCAGAGAATGAACAACTACACATGTCTATTTAATTATCCCAACCCAAAGAACATTGCAGTCTTAAAACCTGTCATTTTTCTGGAGTTAGATAAGTGGTGGGTTGGGTTAGCAAAAAGAACTAGTATTTAACAACTCTAAGAAATCCTCTCATTACTTCAGGAGCATTCAGTGATGTTTTCTGGCTTAAAGATTCAGGAACTGACAATTATATAAGATTTTTTTCTTAAAATTCTGTCTTTGGCATAGTCATAGAATCATAGAACCATAGAGTTGGAAGAGACCACTTGAAATATGTTCTTTAAAATCCTGAAAGAATTCTTCCCCATGAAAGAGGGTTTTTGTTTTTATACCTCCTTCTCAGGATGCTTCAGGATTTCTTTAGAATTCCTTTTAGTGATGTTTTTGAACTTTTGCTGAGCAGTGACTCAAGGGGTCTTTCCTTTCTGTCATCCTCTGTCATTGTCTCCAGCTGCCTATATTATCTTATTGGAAGAAGCCCCATGGGGGATTCACCTTGTGGTATGTCTTCCTGGGCTTTGATTGTCTGGAAAAGTCATAGACTGCCAAAGAGATTATAATATAATGAAAGACAGAACAATCTCCCCTCCTGACAACAATATCATAACAACTATAATAAGTAGGCAAGAAATCAGTATTACATTGACAAAAATTGTCACCTTGGGGTGGGTAAATTATTTCACCCATAAAACTGAAGAAACATGGTGGGGGGAAAAGCAAGAACTTTTCAGGACAGTACTAGCTTGATGTCATTCACAGAATTTCAAAGTGTGAATAAATTTCATATTCTCTCATCATTATGGAAAGTAGGAGTAATTTACCAGTATGAGGGCTTGAACTAAAACAGAGGAAGTCAGGCTCATAATGAATTGGTATCTGTTAATTTAATTGTGGTCTGAGACACTTCATGAAACCATGTAGTAATCACCATGGCAGCTACTTCAGAGGTTCCAAATATGTTTAGATTAAATAGACTGGATTAAACACTAAAGAGCAAGTGTGGTATAGTGGTTTGAACGTTGGACTATGACTCTGGAGACTAGCATTCAAATCCCAGCTTGCTCATGTAAAACCACTAAATGATTTTGGCCAAGTCACACTCTCTCAGCCTCAGAGGATAGCAATGGAAAACTCCCTTTGAAGAAACTTGCCAAGAAAAGCCCATGATAGGGTAATCTTAGATTGCCATAAGTCAGAAATGACCTGAAGGCACATAACAACAACAACACTCAAGGTGACATTTCATACTATTATAACTTTAACTGGGATGGTTCCATTCTTTGAATTCTAGGATCTGCAGTCTAGGAGGAAGTATATAAAATTTCTGACAGAAAACTCTAGTGTTCCACAAAAGTACAAATGGCAGGACTACATAGGACACAGCCATGACAGTTTAAGGTGGAATTGTATTGCTAGCATTGTGTAGTGTGAAAGGGCAGAAGGACTGTTCTGCATTCATGAAGGACCAGATCCATCCATCATTACTCCCATTGTTGTCTACATGTGCAGAACATTTTTTGTAAAATAATAATACTAATAATTCAGTGTTCTCAATTTCATGGAAAGTCTGCACAGACTTTCTGCTAGAACAGAATATGGAGAAATAGATTGGTTCTCAGTTGGCAAAGGGGTCAGACAAGGATGTATGTTATCATCCTATTTGTTCAACTCATATGCAGAAAACATCATACGAAAAGCAACTTTAGAATCAGAAAAAAGGAAGAGTGAACATTAACAATCTTAGATATATGGATGACATTATATTACTAGCAGAAAACATTACAGACCTGGAACAACTACTAAGGAAGGTCAAAGATGAAAGTGTAAAGGCAGGCATAATGCTGAACATATAGAAAACAAAAATAATGACCATGGAAAAAATACATAAATTCAGTCCAGATAATGAAGAAATTGAAATAGTTAAAAGAGTTCCCATACCTAGGATCAAACATTGATCAGAATGGTGACTGAAGTCAAGAAATAATAAGATTCGAGCATAAGTGTCAGCTATGGGAAGAACAGCTATGAAAAAACTAGATAAGGTCTTAAAGAGTAACGACATACAACTGAGCACTAAGGTCAGTACTGTCCAAGCCATAGTACTTCCCAGCACCATGTATAGATATGAGAGCTTGACAGTGAACAAACCAGATAAGAAAAAAATCAACTCATCTGAGATGTGGCTCTAGAAAAGAGTGCTGAGGATACTGTGGATAGGCAAAAAGATAGACAAATGAATGCTAGAATAGATCAAACCAGAATTCTCCCTGGAAGTCAAGATGACAAAATGGACACTGTTGTACTTTGGCCACATAATGAGAAAGCATGACTCACTCAAAAAGACAATAATGCTAGGAAAGATGGAGGGCAGTAAAAAGAGGGAAAAATCACACACCAGATTGCTAGACCCAATTAGGGATGTAATGGGCATGGCTTTACAAGACTTATGCAGAGCAGTGAAGGATAGGGAGTCTTGAAGATGTCTCATCTACAGAGTCACCATGAGTCGGAACCAACTCGAGGGCAGTTAACAACAACAAATGGATAGACAGATAAGACACTTCATAAAATTACAGGCCATGGATATATGTTGGCCTAGAATGACAAAAAATACTTCAGAATTTTGAGAAAAAATAATGAGGGGGAAATGTCTAGTAGTCAATCAACAATTATTCTTAATAAATCTAAGAATGATAAATTGGAGTATTCAGATATGTACCTATTACGTTATCATGCTAGGCTAACGAAAATGTATTTATCAAATGGAGAAAATTACATTGCTTCTTATTCCAGCTGCTCTTTCCTTTAACTCTACAGCAGCTGATGAAATCTTCAAGAATCATGTGTCCTCTTTAAAAAAAATAACTTAAGGGTTTTGGATAGTATAAGAGGACAAAAAAGTTCCCCAAAGTAAAGATATTTAAAATCCATTTATAATATTTATTAATACAATATAGGCAATACATTTACTAAATATAAATGTAGTTCTTTTTTTGAAAAAGAAAAAACCTTCCAATTTTGACTGTTAATTATTCATGTTCTGTTTTCCCTCTTAGCTGTTCTAAAGGCTGCTGATGTTAGCATTCTCTGTTAGGTTTAAGTACCCTTTCAGCACTGCTCTGCCAAATTAAACTGTCACTTTCTATTTAAAAAATCTATAGCAGAAAGTTTTTAATCTTCTGATGTAGACTTAGCAATAAGAAGCCAAAGTTTAAATTAGGGTGGTATCAGCTTATGACACAGAGTTTGAGAAGATCATTGACAATTCCAAGGGGGGAAAAAAATCCCATTTTGAATCAATGTGCAGAGCAGCACAAGCTCATGTAGACAAGATAAAAACAAAGTGACAAACAAACAAAAATCTGCCATGGCCTCAATTTTAGCTGCAGTTGTATGTGACTTATAGGGACCAAAATAAATTTCACTGGACATGATTTTTTCTCTCTCTCTCAATTTCAGTCCCACATGCCAGAATGAAAACCAACAAAAGGTTTCTCTCTACTAGCTGATGTTACAAGAGGTTGTTGGCATTTTAACATTTTTGGGTTTGGGGGTTTGTTTTCATTTTAGTATGAAAAAATTGCTGAAATTTTCACATTGGTTGTTTTGTATGAATAACATTGAGTATTTGCATAATAAATTAATAATAATAATAAAATTTATCTATATCCAGCTTTTTGACAAAGACAATCCAAGCGGCTTACATAAAAACTCATATAATATCACCCCTGAGACCAATCCACCCCCCCCCCTTAAAACAGTATTAAATATCTCATAATTAAAATAATAAAACAATAATAAAATCATAATAAACCAACAGAATAAAACAGACAAACAAAACAAACAAACAAAACAACAAAACAAACCCGGCCAACCTCTAAAGTGTTCCTCAACCATCAGAATGATGGGGCCATGAGAGGAACAGGAGGCCGGGTAAGGTAGGAGATTGAATGACCCGAGGGGACCAGGAAGCCCAAGGCTGGGGTAATTAATCTGGAAAGGCCTGCCGGAAGAGATCCGTCTTAACAGCCTTTTTGAGGCTGTCAGCTGACGGATCTCGTCCGGCAGGTCGTTCCAGAGTTTGGGGCAACAGTAGAAAAAGCCCTCTGGGAGGTCGTCGCAAGCCTCAGTTTTTGAGGCTG